ATCATGTGTAACATCCATGTTGACCTGGGACAAATAGTCCGACTAGGTAAGTCCAACTTCGACCGAGAGATCAATCGCCGATTTCAATTCGGCTGGACAGCGTATTGGAAATTATGACACATCTTCTCGTCGGGTATACGGCTAACGTGACCATTTATTATTTTTGTCAAAGCGGGACGTCCCTTTAATTGGAACGAATTATGGTAAATAAAAGTTTTTGGTGGTTTAAAAAATTTTTTTATTGTATAATGTAATAACAATAATAAAAAATAATTAAAACACTTATTACAAAATAATTAAGTAGGTTGCATGAGTTACTCAGCCCTAGTAGTGGCGTGACTTCTACATAGTATTTTTGTATTTGACGGCTGAACAAATTAGTTTAAAAATATTGAGTCTGTTTTTTAGGTACATATGAAGCTCAGTACAGGATTTATTTATATTTATTTTTGTAATTGAAATGGCTTTCACTGTTGCGACACATAACTGCGTTTTATCACTGGTCTGGATTTTGTTCATTTGACGAAAAAACTCTTTCTACCGGCGCATTACTTCCTGGCAGATACATAATGTACTCAATAATTGTACAAAAGTTCGTTAAGTGAAGATAGTTGGCACGGAAGTGCTGGAATAATTCAATCCAACGGTCTTCAGCCGCAATATTGTCAGTGATTTTTCAATCAGTGACTTTTTCAGCTGTCTCAAAGTTGGAAATAAGCGAAATCTCGTCAAAGATTTTCGAATCTTCATCATCATTACAGCCCTTCACAAGTCCACTGCTGAATATAGGCCTCCCCCAAGGAATGCCATAAAGCCCGGTCCTGAGCCACCTGCATCCATCGACTTCCTGCATGTCTTACCGTCGTCACTCCATCTAGTGGGGAGATGCCCTACACTTCGCCTGCCGGTACGAGGCTGTCACTCGAGAACCTTTCTTCCCAATCGGTTGACGGTTCTTCGAGCTATATGGCCGGCCCATTGCCACTTCAGCATACTAATCCTTTGGGCTATGTCGGTCACACTGGTTCTAATGCGGATATCCTTATTTCCAAGTTTATCGCGCAGAGAAACCCCGAGCATAGCCCTCTCCATAGCTTGCTGAGCGACCTTGAGCTTTCTCATACGGCCAGCAGTGTAGGACCACGAGTCAGATCTATAGGTCATCACTGGCAACACGCATTGGTTGAACAATCTAGTTATGAGGTTCTGAGGTATGTTTATCGAGAAGATATGTCATAATCTCCCAAACGCTGCCCAGCCAAGTTGAATCCATCAATTGACCTCTCGGTCGAAGGTGGACTTACCTTTCTTTTATCATGGGGAAATGCCTACGCATACCCGCCTCGCGGGGACAAGGACGGGTTATGTCGGACTCGCACCGACTAAAACCCATGATGTTCCTTCCTTTGCCGCATATTGGCAGGGCCACAGGAACGCTTTCGCAGACATCCGTGGCCCCACCAGCATCGGCCGCCCCTTCTCGGGGGAGGTCTTCTCGTCCCCACGCTCCTTTTTAGGCAAGGCGCACCAGGAACACAAGGCACGCCCCCTTCCTCGGCCTCCAACTCCACATACGTATCGAACCCCCCGAGTTCGATACGCGAAGGCCATGGGACCAGGAAAATCGAGCGCTTGGTAGCACCCGCTTTCCCGACCCCAGCGGCGGATCTGGTCTCTGGCTCCGCTGCCAACCAAGTTTCGGCCGTGGAGGATAGGGAGAGCGGCGCCTCGCAATACCAACACTCCTCTCCCCCCGAGGCCCCACCACCACCGCATCAACGGTGTGGCCCTGTCTGAGTTGCGGAGGATAGGGCGAGTGGCGCATCGCCATACCAACACTCTTCTTCCTGCGCGACTCCACCTCGGCTGCAGTGGTAGGGGGAGAGAACACCCCTCTCACACAAATCCGAAGTGGGCTTGCCAAGCCCACTCGGAGTGGCCACCTCGGGCCGGCACTACACGTCGGGCCAGCCAAGGGGTTCCTCTTTGTTCACCTATCCGTTGGGAGACACTATTGAGGTCATTTGAGCATAGTGCTTAGGTCGTCCAGCAATTCTGCCATAAGGACTATATCGTCCGCAAATCGAAGGTGAGTGATGTACTCGCCATTGACGTTGGTACAGTATCCTTTCCAGTCCAGTAACTTGAAAACTTCTTTCAATGCAGCGTTGAGGAGTTTCGAGAATATTACGTCACCCTATCTTACACCTCTCTGCAGTTGGATAGGTTTCGTGCTCTGGTTCTGTACTCGGATAGCCATCGTAGCCCTAGTGTACAAACACTTCAGCACATCGATATACCGACAGTCTACTTGGCACCGCTGGGGGGGTTGCAGTACCGCCAAAATTTCGACGGAATCAAAGGGTTTCTCATAGTACACATACGCAAGACAAAGTGGCAGATTGTACTCTTCGGTCTACTGTACAATTTGCCGCAGGGTATGTATGTGGTCTATGGTGCTCAAGCCTTTTTGGAAGCCGGCTTGTTCGGGAGGCTAGAAGTCGTCGAGTCTGTATGCGAGACGCTTCGTAATGACTCTCAATACAGCATAGTTTTGTATCTTGGCTGCTGCTAATAAACACTTCCGTGATCAGCAAATTCATTACTTTTTGTACCTCATCCCAAGTAGGTGCTTTTTTTAAATTTGCCCATTGAAACAATTGTAGTTCTATGTTGAATTGACACCACTGCTCCAAATATTCTTTGCTTGTCCTATAAAACTCAGCCGCTGCAGTTTTAACATTCTGCTGGTCAACAACAATTTCAATTCCTTGTAATTTTACAAGTATAAGTTACGAACGGTGTGAGGAAGGAAAATAGTTTATTTTTATTTTATAGGATAGGGTGACAAGTTTTTTTTTATAGGATAGGGTATTTGTAACCTTAATTCTATAAAAAAAAAACATCTACATCTGCCCTCGTTTGCGAATCGAAATGCAGATGCGTTGTCAGCCGTGAGGACTAAGATGGAATGCCTTTTTTCTAGTAAACAAATTCTCCGATTCTCTACACTCACTATACGAAACACAGCAGCATTAAGCTGCTATTTTACGCTGGTATTCTATGAGAGCGTAGTCCTCACCATTCGAGCCGACCCATTCGTGCTACAACTATACTACCAATATAGCTGCAGCATGGCTCTACCACGTACAGAGTGCTCTCGTTGAATGCCGGGTTATCTCGAAGACGATTAATTTCCTTCGCAGACTCTATTGCAGACACGTTTGCCTCTCACTTTTTAACACAGGTTCATGAAATATCACTGCTTGTGCGTGCAATAAATATAACCACAACTCTGATCTGGGAATTTCGAAAACCATTTTCAAAATATTTGGGAATTTGTCGATACTAAGAAAATAGCTTTTTAAAGGCTGAAACATTTTTAGAACTCTCTCAAGCGCGGGCATTATTAACGTAAGCTACTTTGTTTTATTGTAGCCCAGCAGTTTGTGATACTCTGTGTTCACAAAACTCTTTCAAAGATTCGACTCGAACGCTGTAGATGTAGAAGAATGAAATTAGGTCTGTTTGCGAAAGCGGCACTATTTTGCCTTCGCTGGGGACAGCAGGACAGACAGCCCGAAAGCGGGACTGTCCCGCCCAAAGCGAGACGTATGGGCACGTTAGATATACCTCAAAACTTGAAAACGACATTGTAAAACTAGTGCGTGTTGTCAGTGCTGACTTATGGATCTGAGACGTAGTCTTTCTTCTGGCCGTACGAAAAATCTCAAGGTTGCTTAGCGAGCTATGGAAAGGGCTAGGTTCGGGGTGTATAATAAACGTAAAAATGAGGATATACACACTAGAACGAGAGTGACCAACATAGCCCAACGGATTAGAAAGCTGAAATGACAATAGACCGGCCATATAGCTCGAAGAACTGAGAACCGATGGGGAAAAAGGTTCTCGACTGGCAGCCTTGTATCGGTAGGGGAAGTGTCGGGCGACCCACACTATATATATATATGTTATACGTGGTAGAGCCATGCTGCAGCTATATTTGTAGTATAGTTGTAGCATGAATAGGTCGGCTCGACCGGGGAAGAACCACGCTCTCACAGAATACCAGCGTAAAATAGCAGCTTAACGGTGCTGGGCTTCGTATGGTGAGTGTAGAGAACCTGAGACCCTTTTTACTGGAAATGAGGCATTTCATCTTAGTCCTCACGGGTGACAACGCATCTGCATTTTGATTTGTAATCGAGGGTAGATGTAGATGACTATGTGCCGCAGCAACCACTTACCATCAGGTGGACTGTGTGACCCTTATCGTATAAAAAAAATGAAATGACGACCTGGTGATACATGCAGGAAGTCGATGGATGCAGGTGGCTCAGGACCGTGCTTTGTGAGATTCCTTGGGTGAGGCCTATGTTCAGCAGTGGACTTGTGAAGGGCTGTAATGACGATGATGATGATATTTTACAACTTACTAACAAGTGGCCGTTTTTTCCTCTTCCGGCATACTGTGAGAAATTTTTCATTAGCAGTCTATAAACATGACAATTGACAAAGCTTAACATGTTCGTGCCACACTGTACCTAACTATATTGTGACTACAGTACGATAAGGTCTGTTCGACCAGAGAAAAATCACGCTCTTACATAATACTAACTTACATAAAATAACAGTAACTTACTGCTGATTGACTCGTGAGAATCAGAAAACCTTTTTACTATCAAGGAGGAATTCTACCTTAGTCTTAGATGCATCGAGGTCTATGAATCACAGCATCCACTTACCATTAGATATATGATGGAATGTGGTAAATCAGTTAAATTCAGTACTGCTGACTCGGAACGATCATTGCTCTAATGTTATGGTACGCTAGTATACTACTATATAATGAAATTTACATTCGATTACAAATTTTACACACACAGGGCTAGGCAGAACTGGAGTACTCATAGCGTGCTATCTAGTGTACGCTCTGCGAGTCCGTGCCAATGACGCTATACGCCTCGTGAGGAAGAAGCGGCCGCGCTCTGTGCAGACTTCTGGGCAAATTTTGTGCGTGCAGCAGTTCGAGCATTACATACTGCCGCAAACGGCTGTGTTTAGTTCTAAGTAAGTATGCTTATATCCTGATCACCATCATGATTGCAGAACCTAACGAGTCTGCTAAATAAGTCTCCCCCAAAGACTACAATAACATTGTTTAGGCCAAATCGTAACATTTTGAAAACTTGCATTCAAGACGCGCGTCTCGGCGTGTTCAGCCGATGGAATTTTAAGGTCACCGCCGGCCCCTTTTCCTGCGCGCGTCTCTGCGCTCACGCTCGGCCGTCTGACGTGTTTGCGAAAAAAATTGGTGCGCGTTAGCCGTGTCGGTTAACAGTCTGGAACAATCAATTGTCCGGTGGCAAGCGGAGTTGGTGTTTGGCCCTGCCAGTGAACACCTTCACATTCTAGTTAAAGTAAATGTCCTCGATGACATTGTAGGTTTACCCCCTAACGTCCGTATAAATGACAGCGCTGTTCGTTGTGCGTCGGATTTGAGACCGGCAGACCCTCAATGGTCCCAACCTGGGACCATTGAGGGTCTGCCGACCTATAGATTATGTAAACCTATAGATTTGTTGCTGGGAGCCGACGCGCTGGGGTTCATCTTGTTAGGCGAGATACGAGCCCTACAGCCCGAAGGATTGTCAGCCATGTCCACTGTATTTGGGCACAGTTTCTTTGGACCGGTTCTGTGGTTTCCACCTCCTCAGACGGCCGACCCGCTCTCTGTTGTGGGCGTGTCCCTTTCGGACGTCGTCCAGCGGTTCTGGGAAATTGAGGAGCCACCACACGCGTCTCGAGTCAACCCTCTGAACCGTGAGTGCGAGTTGTTCTACCAGAATAATACCGGACGTCGTGTCGACGGTCGTTTTCTCACTCGCTTACCCTTTCTTGACTCACGGCCCCCTTTAGGCCAATCTCGTACCCTGGCCGAAGAGAGGTTGTTTTCCATGGAGCGCCGTATGCGGCGCGACCCAGCCTTTCGCGACAAATATGTCGAGTTCATGCGCGAGTATCAAGAGCTGGGTCACATGTCACCGTCCAACTTCGACTGGCGTTCACAGGAGCACTACTTTCTCCCTCACCATGCGGTCTTGAGGACCCCTGGGAGTAAGATTCGGGTAGGTTTTGACGGCTCCGCCCCCTCGTCAAATAGTGTGTCCCTGAACCAGTGTCTCCACTCTGGTCCTAAATTGATCAAGGACATATCCGACATTTTGACTTACCTCCTTCGGCACCAAGTGGTTTTTGTAGCCGACATTCAGATGATGTTTCGACAATCAGTGGTCCATCGTGATGACCGTCGATATCAGCTGATATTGTGGCGGGAGAAGCCCAGCGATCCGATACAGGTGTTTCAGTTGAACACCACCACTTATGGACTCCGGTCCAGCCCGTATATCGCCATGCGAACCGTCCTCGAACTCGTTGAGAGAGAGCATCTAAAATACTCTCGGGGGGCTTCTATTTTGGAGACTTCGGTCTATATGGACGACATTTGCACGGGCGTCTCCACCGTCGAGGAGGCTCATGTATTGCGAGACGAATTGATTGCCATCCTGAAGTCCAGAGGTTATGAGTTGCGCAAATGGTTGTCGAACTCCCCTCATATTTTGAGGGACCTCCCAAAAGAGGATCAACAAGACCCTCATCTATTCGAACACCCTGAAAATCCTAATTTGTTGACTGTGCTGGGCATTCAATATCAGCCTGTTCAGGATACTTTCACGTATTGAGTCAAACTCGATCCCCCTACTAAATCATGGACCAAGCGCTCCGTGCTGTCTACAGTAGCCCGCACCTTCGATCCTAATGGATGGTCCCAGTTGGTTGACTGAGTCTCAGTTATTCTGGCCCCAGAATAAATACTCCGAACCGATTGAATTGCCTGGCCTACGAGCCCGAGTAGGAGTAGGCAAGGATAAGCCCACTCGGGATGTCTCCCTGCTAGAACGGTACAGCTCTCTCGATAAGCTCTTAGGATTGACTGCTTGGTTGCTTCGATTTGTCCGCAATTCGAGAGACCCGTCCAACCGAATCTCTGATTCCGTTTTGTCCCCTAGCGAGCGTCGCGAAGCTTTGATGCATTGGACTCGTATGGTCCAAGCGGAGCATTTTGAGCCCGTGATTGAAACCTTGAAGCGGGGCTCCGTTGTCAAGGGCGCTCTGGCCCGTCTGAACCTCTTCCTGGGCGACACTAGGATGCTGCGCGTTGGCGGACGTTTGCAAAATTCTCAACTGCCGTACGGGGCTCGACACCCGTTACAGCTCCCTAAGGACGGCGCCTTTGTCCGGTTGCTGGTAACCCACCATCATGTTCAGAATGCCCACGCTGGGTGTAACGCTCTTTCGGGTATTTTGCAGCGAGAGTTTTGGATTTTGGCTGACCGACGCATCATTCGAAGCGTCCTCTTTAAGTGCATACCTTGTTATACACTGAAGGCCACCATATCGCAGCCTATGATGGGCGACTTACCACCCGACCGCGTCAGGGCCATCCGATCATTCGCTGGAGTCGGAACAGACCTTGCTGGCCCCTTCCTCGTCAAGTCCTCCAACCTTCGTAACGCGCGTTCACATAAGGCCTATCTGTGCGTTTTCGTGTGCCTCGCCACTAAGGCCGTTCATTTAGAACTTGTAAGTGCCCTCAGCACTGAAGCCTTTGTAGCCAAGCTGGGCCGCTTTGTATCGCGTCGCGGTTTGCCGGACCTGATCCGGTCTGATTGCGGAACGAATTATAAGGGCACGGATAGATATTTGAAAGAGGTCGTCGAATTTCTATCCAGCAACAGGACTTATTTAGGTACTGCGATGTCCTTGCATTGCTCCGGCTTGCTCTCACTGGGGCGGTATTTTTGAGGCGGTGGTTAAGGTTGCAAAAACGCATCTCCGTCGCGTTATTGGCGAAACTATTTTGACATTTGAGGAGCTTGCCACTGTATTCTGTAAAATTGGGGCGGTACTCAACTCTCGTCCCCTCTGTCCCCTCTCGTCCGATCCGAATGATTTGGAGGTTCTAACCCCGGGCCACTTCCTGATTGGCCAGCCGCTTAACGCCCTGCCCGAGTACCCCATTCAGGGAAATAAACTCTTCGCGGTTGAGCAGATTTAACCTGCTGCAACAGATGACTCAGAGTTTTTGGCACCGATGGTCTCTGGAGTACCTACATCTTTTCAAGCAGTGCATTAAGTGGTCTGACAAGACGGACCCTCCTCGGGTTGGAGACCTCGTGTTAGTTAAAGAACCCAACGCTTTGCCTTTGTATTGGCGCCGTGGGCGCATTGTTAAGTTGTCGTATGGATCGGATAGGGTGCCTAGGGTGGCCGAGGTTTTAGTTGGAGATTCGGTCTTGAAACGTGTCGTCGCGACCTTATCCCGTTTGCCAATTTACTCGCGGACATAAGTCCTTATAGCCAGGACGGGGGTTTGTTTAGGCCAAATCGTAACATTTTAAAAACTTGCATTCAAGACGCGCGTCTCGGCGTGTTCATCCGATGGAATTTTAAGGTCACCGCCGGCCCCCTCTCCTGCGCGCGTCTCTGCGCTCACGCTCGGCCGCCTGACGTGTGGGCGAAAAAAGTTGGTGTGCGGCAGCCGTGTCGATTAACAGTCTGGAACAATCAATTGTCCGCGACGGCCGTGTCGGTTAGATGTCGGGAAGTTACGTTAGAATCGTTAGGTCGCGTTAAGACCGCCTCCTTTGCGTTGTCTTATTTCGTTCGTATGCATGACAACGAGGCTTATCTTGAGTTTTGAGTAATTAACCTAACTTCGATTGCCATTAATTTGCGTCGACGAGTTGTTTGTGTGGCATTTTAATATCGTAATAAGACATTTGCTATGTCGGGTGGAACGTTAAAACTTTGTGACCCGAGAAGAGATCGCGTTCCTCTTCAATTATAGTTTTGTGTGACGTTAGAATTGAGTTGAGATAACGATGAACGCCCACTGGAGTGATTGAACATTGTGCAACAGAGCAGCGCATGTGAGTTTGCTGGCCGATTACATCGGTGACGTCAGGTTACACTTACACACTTTCTTACACCACTTACACGCACCACTACTTATCCCTGACGGTACCTTGTGGCCTGACCCTACCTCCGGATCTCGGTAAGTTTGTGTTTGTTTATCCAGCCACTACATAATAATTATCCATAGGCCATTCGGGCCCGAACCCTCTGGTTGCCCGTCGAAAGTGTTACTCATGGGCCCTAATACAGTCGACTTCTGTCTGGGCAATTGAGGGCCGTAACAAACATGATCCTGAACTACCTTCTTTCATATACGTGGTAGAGCCATGCTGCAGCTATATTAGCAGTACACGAATGGGTAGACTCGACCGAGGTAGGACCACGCTCTCACAGAATACCAGCGTAAAATAGCAGCTTAATGCTGCTATGTTTCGTATGGTGAGTGTAGAGACCCGGAGACCCTTTTTACTGGAAAAGAGGCATTCCATCTTAGTCCTCACGGGTGACAACGCATCTGCATTTTGATTCGCAAACGAGGATAGATGTATATGTCTATGGGCCACAGGAACTACTTACCATCAGGTGGACTGTGTGCTCGTTTGTCACCCTATCCTACAAAAGAAATATACATAATATTTCAATCACACCAGAAGACATAGTGCCGACCTCTTGGCCGAAGTTGGACTTGCCTAGTGGAATGATTTGTCTGTGATGAAGAGGATGGTTTAATAGACCTCATAATTGACCTGTTAGTAGCTGGTGACATTAGTTGGAATACTTAAATAAAACTTAGTTACAGTCTGACGGAGTCTGTCTGGGTAGATGCGACCCTCTTACCTATTCCTGCCACCAAATAGCAGTGCTTGCAAGGCTTTGTTCTCGTCAGAAGGGTATAGAGAACCAGTATAATGAGAGCCTGTGAGGTATCCCATCTTAGTCCAAAGAAGATCACTTACTTTTACCTTCTTTCTTTGAAGTTGACTGTAGCTATAAATTGACTGCAGTATCCACTTACCTACTACTTATAAGTTAGTTTATCACTTCAGTTTTAAAAAAAATAGGGTAGATAGCTTAGAAAAATTTGAACATCACACTTGAGTAAGACACCGGTAAAATTTTTATTGTTGTTATTTTACAGGGAACCGCTGATGTTAACAACGCGAGATCGTAAATCTGCCGAATTTACACTCAAGCAGTATCTCTTTCGGCAGCGGGCAACTCTTCATGGATTAGAGGAACGAGTCTTTAGAGAACTTCCCAAGGTATCCCGTTTTATTTACAACTATCGTATAATACATTTCTGTAATTCCTCCTTATTTTGTTTAAGATAATAAGAGTGATAAACGAGCACACATTACACCTGCTGCACTTACCAACTGCGGTCTATAGACTTTATGTATTCTCAATTAAAAATCAAAATGCAGATGCGTTGTCGTTCCTGATGCCTCGTTTCCAGTGAAAAGGGTATGCGGTTCTTTACACTCGCCATACGAATCACAGTAGCATTAAGCTGCTATTTTACGCTGGTATACAGTGAGGGCGTGATCCTTGGCTTTACCACGTAAAACCATTCGCTGTCATACAATGTACAATTGTTGGACATTCTAAGCAATTGCAATACTATTTATTTATTTTTTGTTGTAAAATTTAGCAAAACCAATATTTGTATAGAAATGGTGTCTCATAATTTCTTTTTTTTTATAGGATAGTTGTGTGAAAAACGTAGTGACAAACGAGCCCACAGTCCACCTGATGGTAAGTGGTTACTGTGACCCATAGACATCTACATCTATCCTCAATAAAGACTGATGCAGATGCGTTCTCACCCGTGAGGACTAAGATGGAATGCCTCTTTTCCAGTAAAAAGGGTCTCCGGTTCTGCACACTCGCCATACGAAACACAGCAGCGTTAAGCTGCTATTTTACGCTGGTTTTCTGTGAGAGCGTGGTCTTTCCCCGGTCGAGCCGACCCATTCGTGCTACAACTATACTACTAATATAGCTGCAGCATGGCTCTACCACGTACAAAAAAGTGAAAAGTATAATGTCGTCGTAGTTTTTATAGAAAAATAATCGTAATTGTATTTTTTTAAATACTAGAAATCCCATTTACCACTTATCTACCTTATTTTTTTATCTATCCTTATGTCAAGTATTATAAAGAGTTATACAAGTGTTTCTTGTTTCTTGTACTTTCACTGTCCGATTTTCAGACACAATAGTAATGAACTGGAACTAGAATTGGTTAAAATATCCGATAGAAAATATCAAGATATTATTAATTTTTATTTTTTTTTTCCCTCTGTTGCGGCTCTACCCATAACTCTCACACCACACTACCAAAGGTTAGCTGGCAGAGAATGCCTTTTTGGCATTAAGTTCGCCTTTGTACCAAATGTTTGTTTGTTTGACAATGTTTCTTTATTGCACAAAGAATTTTCTATCTATCTATCTAAGATATAAAATGGCATAAAATAAATCCGCCGGCTCCCTTTCATTAAGTTTCTTTTTATTTCGCGACGCAATTTAAAAAGAACATTAAGAAGAGCTCTCACTATACTCTCTCAAAGTACTTAATTATGACAAAATTGTAGCATTTAAGCTTTAGCTTCTGAACAACTGAACAGAGCAACTGAAAGAAAGGAGTGGAACCCTATGCAATTTCCCAAAACTCAGTTAGCTTACTTTATTAAAGGGAGTATCTATTCATGCGTCTAATAAAACATTACACTAATCTTATAATATCAGTGACAGTAGGATAAGGTGCGGCTGGGTGACCCTTGGGCCACCCTAAAGCCGCGTACAGTAATGTACGCGGCTAATATAGGTACGCGTTAGTAATGGTATAATCGTTAACCATAAATAAATTAAAATATAATATTGAAAGGAATCTTAAAAGTATTTCTTTTTGTAACATTATCGTATGAATAATAAATTTTTAATCACACCACTATCGTATGATCAGCCAGAGCCTTTATTGAATTGCAGATAGTGTACTGTATTTGCGAGAGACTGCTCAAGTTATGTGGCTGTCATCAAGCCGCCGGCCAAGACTTCCGCGTAAGGAACCGTCCATTCTACAAAACTTTCTTAGCCTACAAACTGAAAAAGAACAAACCTCCCGATCCTGTAACTCCAGAAGAAATTCCCGCAGGTATTTAAATTAACACTTACTATAAAAGACACCATATTATTTATAATAGCTACAATATTAAAATAAACAGCTTCTTATTAAACTCTACTCTTTGCTCAGAGCTCAATTTCTTGTCTCAAATCACACTGCCATTTATAATCGGCTATTGCCACACATCCGGACAGGTTTACAACCGTAGTTTTTTATTCTATCTAATGTAGAAAACCGTCAATATAGAGTTAGATACACCTCTTTTTCGTAGTAAAGCCACGCCTGGTCGACCAGAGAAGGCTCACTCGCGTTTTGTGGTACATAATGAGCTTTTTCCTCGTAACCTGGCATTCCATCTAATTTTTCAGGGGTGAAAACGCATCTGCATTGTAATTCTTATTAACTTTCAATCTAGTGGACATTTTTCTTGTTTTTCACCTTTAAGTAAAGATATAAATATAAGTATAATTAAAAAGAGTCTAGATCCAATTTATTCAATCTGTGTCGTTTCTTCAACATAAATGAATTTAAATTCATTGTTTTTTTTTCAGGCCATGTGACAACACTGCCTATGGTGGAATGGCGAGATCCAGTAGAGGAGGATGTAGAAAGAAGCTTGGAGTCAGTTAGTACGATCACAGGATCTTCCAGTGGCGGAAGCATACCCGCCGTAGATATACATAAGGTGACATTCGCTTAATAATATATTTCCAACTCCTTCTTATAACGTATAAACTATGAAAAATCAGCTATGAGACTAAGCATAACGTTTACTTTGTTACCATTTCAGGCATTCATTTTGGATCACCAAAGTCTTCCAGACGAGAAACAGAAATACCTTAAGCAGCTACGTAATGAGATTAATCAGAGTCGAGAAGCTATGGACAAGATTTATGATGAGGTATAAGCAGAGTTGCCAGATCAGACTAGGGTCTTGGACGGTTTTAATACGAATCCATAAAACAGACATCAATTAATATCACTTTCATTGAAACATATTTATCCGTGTAGTAACGGTGTAAGAACGTCCACTACGCGATATCATCCCGTGGATATGGTAAGAGGCGACAGACGAATACTGTACCAGGAGATGAATACCAGCTCAATTCTCCTGTTTTTCGTATGGTGAGTGTAGACTGTAGAGAACCGGAGACCCTTTTTACTGCAAACGAGAAATTAAATCTTAGTCTTCAGGGGTGACAACGCATCAGCATTTTGATTCTTAATCGAGTGTGAAGTTTTTAAGAACGCTCAGGAGGGATTTAATAGGGTCTGTGAATGGCTTAGCTACAATATCTTAACACTGAATGTTAATAAAACAAAGTACATTGCATTTGGTCATAGAGCTAACCTCCTTCCACTACTATCTTTGACAATCACATTCCACACCTGTGGTCTTAGACTTTCAGGATGTCACTGTCCCTTAATTGAAAGAACCAATAAAAAAAATATCTTGGCATTTTAATTGATCAGACCTTAACATTTAAACCCCACTTTGAGGTTTTAGTATCCCGACTACGAAAGCTCATATATATATATATATATATATATATATATATATATATATTCAGAACCTTAAAAAATATAGCTGAACGCCGTGTTATAATGGTAGTTTACTTCGCTTTATGTCAATCCATAACTGAATATTGTATAACATAATGGGGAGGAGGAGCCAAAACGAGTCGAGAGAGCACAACGTGCAATTCTTAAATTAGGTGCTGGTCTCCCTTTCCGTTTTCCTACAGAGGAGCTGTATAAAAAATGGGATGTACTAACGGTTAGATAAACTTTCATTCAGCATATCGTGCTTAAACAACACTCTCATCTACGTTATAACCCAGATCTTTTTAAGTATAAACGCTACAAAGATATAATATGCAAAACTCTAACTTTCAACTCAGCTCTTTCACATAAGTTTTTCTGCTTCTTTTTCGTTTTTATTTAGTTTGTTATAAAGAAAGGGTCCCACCCTTTCTTTATATAACAAACTAAATAAAAGTTTAGACATATATCCCAAAAATAAATCTAGTTGTAAAATAACATTAAGAAAATTCCTAAAAACCCTTAACTACCAAGAAACTGAGAATCTTATTTTAACCCAATACTAATACTTTAAAAACCTCTAATAATGATACTCCAGGATTGCTTCTGTACAATCATTAAAAAACACACACTCACACACACACACACACACACACACACACACACATACACACACACGCACACGCACACGCACGAAATCAAATTAAAATTATCAGAACGGAAGTCTTCAACATACCGCTAGATGGCTCTCGTAGTAGCAAGCGATAAGAATGTTTTTAAGTTTTAATTTTAAGTTTTTTAAGTTTTAAGTTTTAGTTTTATAAGTTTGCCCTATCCTATCTATATATGCTATAAAAATATTTAATAAATTATTTTTTAATATGTATTTTTAATATCTCATTGAATTATGAATCTTATGTATAGGTCCCGTCACGTAAAAAGAACGCCGGCCTTGTACCTGCGCAAAGAGCGATTTATCGATCAAATTGGTGGTACGAAAGGGGCGCGACGGGGGAATGCTCGCCAGTATTTGGTATGTCTGTGCGCGCACGCTATTGATTCGTCATGCTTCCCGCGCTTTGTTCGCTCCCAAAATACAGTCGCATACACAGCTTTCTTTACACGACCCGCGACGATGGTTTTAAAAAGGAAGGAAAGAAAAAATATTTATGTCTATTGTTTTACGACTGAACTAGCGAACGAAAAGATAAATATGATGGGAGAAGGTGAATGGGGAAAATTGTGCAGTAAAGTTAAAAGTATTGAGGAAGAATATCGAAAAAATTACCATGTGGTCGACCTGATGACGGAAACATTTATCATTCGCATTGACGATGATGATTCTGATGACGGAAGCTCAAGCGAAGATGAAAGTGATGATGAAATAGCAACCAGTAACACCAACACAGCATCGACATCTGGTTTCCATGTGACCCAAGAGGATATAATGGACGGAGTGTTACTCCTAGTTTAAGTTTTCTTGTTACAAACTACTTTATATTTTACGACAGAAATAAAAAAAATAATTAAACATTTTTAATTCCAACCTCTTCCAAAGTTCTAAGTAGCATGTAAAGTACCTATTATGATTCTACAATAAAACAATTAATTACTATTATATTTTAAAACAATAGTCAAGTACCATGTAGTACTTTAGAACGCGACTGTACCCATGCGCAGACACATCCCCTCCACTGTCGCTCAGCGTTCTCTTTACGTGAGGGGACCTGTATATATTTCGTTTCTTTCGACACTCACGGAATGATATAGGGTAGTGGATACTCTTGCACCGCCACTACACGGTTCTGTTTGGTATGTACTATAATCAATATATTTTTCTTTTTTTAGGAAGATCCCATGGTGCTATCTGGACTTCTTCTCGAATGGTTGGACGGCCTGAAGCAACCAGTTCTTAATCGGGAAGATCTTTCCCTGATAGTCGCGCGTGCGAATAACGCGGAGCATTGCATAATGGCATTGCAAATGGTATTAAAATTTGAGCTAAGGCAAAATAAGATAAATCTATTAAATCGTTGAATCGGTCGTTCGACATTCAAAGCCGTAATCATGATTTTACTCGGGGCAGATTTTTCAATCGTTAGTTAAAAGTTACTCTGATAAAATATAACTTATGCGAATTAAAAACATCTGGTATGAATAAAATTATTCATTTGTATTACTTTTATATTCAGTCATGGATAACTATTATTTAACAATTGAAAAATCGGCTTTAAAACATTGAGTACTAGAAGAGACGTCGAGACTTTAAAACCCATGAGCTCAAACTTACATATACATAGTCTGTGCCATAAAAAGGTCCTAGTCCTAGTCGCACAGAATTTGTTCGTGCTATTTTTTTATTACGTAGTTAAATCTTAATCGCTTTTTCCGTGGTGTGAACCCCGAAACTTGTAGTGACGGTGTGAGAATAATAATAGAAGTGAAACAAATACCGTAAGTTGTTTGCGTAAGAATTTTTGTTGACTAGATGGATTGACTCTTTTTCTGCATTTGTCTCTTAGCTTTTAATGCTGCCATAAATCAATGCTTGCACCGCTGTGTCTGAAGGATATAGCTGACCAGTGTAATTAGTTTAATATAGGAATTACATCTCAGTCCCTAGAAGTGACAACGCCTCTGTAGCCGTCCATATTTGAAGTTGGTTGCATGTGCCCATGGATTTTTTTACCTTTACCTTCAGGTTTTTTCTTTCTTAGAGACTAAGTGCGTTTATAAAAAGAAAGAAATAACATTTATTCGTGGCCACAACATAATACAGCATAAAGAAAAAAAATCTTATTATTATTGGACTGCAGCAACAAAACGGTCACCGACTTAGCATAATCTACAGCAAAATTGTCGCACCACTATTATTTTGCCGATACCTTGAGGAAAAAAACCATGTCACTTTAGTTTAAAAAAATTCTAACGTTGTTTTTTAAATAAGCTTTACTAAAACACTGATCGCTTCGTGGCGCAGTGGCTTAGCAATGAGTTGCAGTGCTAAAGGCCACGGGTTCAAATCCCGCACGGAACAAGTAGGTATTTGTATGGCCTACAAATTATTATTCTGGATGTTTGGCCTTGTGAAATGTATGTATGTAAACTGCCCACGATACAGGGGAAAATCCTAGTGTGGAGGTAATGTTATTATAAAGAAAACAAAACATCTGTGCAGTTCACACACGGTAGAAGTGTAACCTACAAATGAAATGAAATATAAGGACTTAGTGAAATAAATCAAAATAATATTTTCTTTCGAGTAAAATTGCTTTGTAATAGCGCCATCTACTTTATTCTATAGGTAAAGTGTTTTTATCGAACCTTGAGATGAGAGACAATCAAAATTGTCAAAAACATTTAACGGTTAAAATTTAAATTATATTAAATTTATAGTCGGGAAGGGTCGCCCTAGGCGAAAGTTTATCGACCAAATTGGCGATATATTAAAAATGGGCCAAATCAAGAGTACCTTTAACCGACGAGCGTGTATGCGTAGGTATATGGATGTGGAGGAAGCGAGAGAGGTGTGTCAGGATCGTGCCAAATGGAAGTCCATAATCTCTGCCTACCCCTCTGGGTGACAGGCGTGAGTGTTTATGTATGTATGTTTATAAATTTATATTAACCATCTTTAAAGACCCGCACAAAGGAGAGACTGAGAAATAGGCAACTTTTTAAAAAAATGACAAACAAAAAAAACCTCAACAACATCAGATACGCAGACGACATGGTGTTGCTGAGTGCTTCTGTTTGTGGCTTGGTAAACTGTTGAGCATATGTGAAAGCTTCGCCCGCAGTCACGGATTGATTTAACTTTAATAAAAGCGAATGCATGGTCTTTCAGGCTAAAGTGAAAGCCTTGCCCTCATATATACCGCCCATTAAGTTATACGGTACCCCGTTAAGGAGGGTGTCTCAGTATAAGTATCTGGGTCATATGGTATCCCTTGACCTGAAAGATGATGCTGATATAGAGAGAGAGCGCAGGGCATTGTCTGTTAGAGCGAACATGATCGCTCGCAGGTTCGCTCGTTGTTCGGTCCCTGTAAAAGTAACGCTATTCAGAGCTTACTGCACGTTCTTTTACACGAGCAGTCTGTGGGTGGACTACACGCAGAAACAGTACAATGCCCTGCGTGTTCAATACAATAATGCATTCAGGATGCTATTGGGTCTGCCTCGTTACTGTAGTGCGTCGGGTATGGTCGCGGATGCGCGTGTGGTTTGTTTCTACACCACCATGCGTAAATGATGCACATCCCTGGTGCGCAGGGTGCGGGCCAGTTCGAGTGGCATCCTGAGAGCATTTTCTGACAGGTTTGATTGTCAGTACCTGAACCATTGTCATATGGCGCACGTGCTGACTAATCGGGCCTGTCTTAGATATAGTTTTAGAATTAGGTAAATAGTTTTAAGTTTACTAACATTAGCTTTAAGATTTGTATTATTACTAACATCTATGATCCTTGTGGTTGAAATAAACGATTTTTATTTTTTTTTTATTTTTATTTCATAATAGGTTTTTGCATAGTTCACAGTGACGCATATACCACATAAACTATTTTTATAGAATAAGGCCACAGTTCGCCTGATGGTGAGTGGGTGCTGTGCGATAAAGTCAAAATGTAGATGCGTTGTCCCTCTGAGGACTAAGATAGAATGCTTCGTTACCAGTAAAAGACATCTCCGGTTCTCTACACTCACCATACGAAACACAGAAGCTTTAAGCTTCTTTATAGTGTAACCTATACAAAATTTAAAAAAATATATTACATTTAATTACAGGAGGACATCTTGCTTATAGAATACCTGCTACGCTTTATTATACGCCTTCGACCGTTAGCAGCCAACAAAAAGATCGACATAATAAAACGCCTGCTTGCTTCCCTCACGCATCAGACTATTTTAATTGGCGGGACATTTCTTCCCAGTGGCAGAGACTTCCCAAGACTGCGTGATGGAACGTGCAGTCAAGTTATTAACTTCATGCTAAGGATGATCGTAGAAATACAAAAGGATATTTTGAAACCCGGAAGAGATGACACTGATGTTGTCATTCCACCACGAAGATTAAGAATAAAGGCTTGGAAATAAATTTAATTAATATAAATATTTTAATTGTTTATTTATTGATGTATTTGTTTGAGAATCACCAACTGAATTAAATATAAAGTTAAAGTTACAGATTATATACGTCCCACTGCTGGGTACAGGCCTCCTCTCATTTCTGAGAGGGTATTAGGGCAAGGAAGTGTTCGCCGCACAGTCCCTATACATGTTGGCGAACTTCACATGTCTTCCAAATATTTTTTTTTCTCACTTCCCAGACATGTAGGTTTCATCATGATGTTATGTGGTAAATCAGCACTTAAAATTGCAATTAACGATTTCATTGGTGGTGTCGAGGTGAGGTAAACGCCGCCGGGGGGGGGGCAGTGTACCGGCTCCCGCGATTCCGGTCGTGGGCTAAGACAGTAGCTTAACAGCGGCGGTGCGGTCGATTAGCGTATTTTGGTGACCGCTGCATCTACGAGTATTTCGTGCGACCAGTATTTGTGTTTTGTGGTCTTTGTGCGCGTTAATTTACTATTGGAGGTTTTCGCTTCTAGTTTTGGTTATCTTTAGTGCGTTCACGCGATATTAACGAAGCGGTAATATTTTGATTGATTAACCTAAATTCGTTGGCAAGTAATTTACGTAAATTGAATAGTGATTGCCGGTTAAAGTGCATTTTGCAATATTTAACTTGCTTGTGTAACGTGGAACCTTGCGCGCACGCCGAGTGGACATACGATCTCTGTTTGTAATTTGATGCTCGCATTCCATTTCGAGGGCGTAACCCGGTTAATTGTTTTTTTTTGGAAGTTAATGTTTAATGGTACCGTCGCGTTAAGTGCCTTTCGTGTGTTGACTCTGTAGTTAGTTTGCGTGTCAGCTAGGCTGATTTTGAGTCTGAATGCGGACGTAGTATTTAATATCGTACGAAGGAATTTAGTTTGTTGTTTGTAACGCGGAACTTTGTGACCCTAGAGAAGGTCGCGTTCGGTTCTAGAAATAATTTGTTGCTGAGTGAAAACGGAAGTGAACTTTGATCCACCGTTCATTAGTCGTGCCGTGTGTTACGTTTTTGATTACGATTAACGGGGATTTAGTAGAGTTTGAAGTTAGTTAAATGTACAATAAAGTTGATGGATTGAAATAGTGTACAATAAAGTTAATAGACTGAAATAGTGAATTGAAGAAAGAAGTTGTCAATTGGTGACGTCCGCTGGAGTGATACAACATGGTGGGGCAGTATCGGACCAGCGGCCTGGGCCCGATCACCTCAGTTGGGTCAGGTCACATATATAAACACTACTACACACCACTTACATGCATCTACACCTACCTACGGCCTGCCCGAGCCTTAGGGCAGTCTTAGTTTCGGAACCAGATACGTACTATTTGTTTACCTAGCCTTATATCTATTGTGTAGAATGATAAGTCTCCATAGGCCGTTGGGCCCCGTCCCTTGTTAGGATTACTCATGGGCCCTAGTCCCGTCAACCTATGTTGGGGCAGCTAGGGGCGTGTACAACAGTTAATCATCGCGTTTGATGTTGCCGGAAAAGCCGACATAAACAATTTACTATATATAAACATTTTACTTTTTGATGATGCCAGAGTCGGGTTATTTCATATTTAAGTTCTGCATATTTAGTAATTTGTGGGTTATGCATCTGCTATATCTATAAGGTATCCGGTTTTGTTAATTTCATCAATTAAATAGCTGTTCCCCACGACTTCGCGTCGTGTAATTTAAATTAAAATTATGTTGCGCGAAACATTAATTCTTTTTCTAAAATGTAAGTAGCCTAAGTTGCTCTTTATAACATCAGCTATGTACCAGTGAAAGTCCCGTCGAAGTCGGTCCAGCCGTTTCGGAGATTATCCGGAACAAACAGACAGACACACAAACATTTTAAAAATTGTGTTTAGTAATATATGCATTTAGTAAAAAGCTGTTATTTTGAAATTACAAATATACACTTCAATTTTATTTATTTGTATAGGTATATATTGGCGACCATGGTAACGGCGGGGCAGGGGGTGCTAAGAATCTCCGGTGGAGGTTCGGTTGCCACCTTAGACGACTCGACCTGGCAACGTACAACGCACGCACCCTGAGGACTGACGAGAAGATTGTGGAGCTGGAAGAAGAGATAGACAAGTTGCGCTGGCATATTATAGGATTATCCGAAGTCCGAAGAGAGGGGGAGGACACGGTAATCCTCGAATCCGGCAACTTGCTCTATCACCGGAAGGGCGACCATCTGTCCCAAGGAGGTGTCGGATTTATCGTCCACAAGTCTCTCGTTAACAACGTTGTAAAGATCGGGAGTGTGTCGACGAGGGTTGCGTACCTTATACTCAGAATCACCAAACGGTATTCGCTGAAGGTCATACAAGTTTACGCACCAACCTCGGCACACCCCGATGAGGAGGTGGAGGAAATGTATGAGGATATCTCTAGAGCCATGCATTCCTCCAAAACCCAATATACGGTGTTAATGGGAGACTTCAATGCAAAACTAGGCACAAGAGAGAACGGTGAGCTGAAAGTAAGGAAATTTGGAATAGGGCAACGGAACCCAAGGGGCCAGCAGCTGGCCGACTTCATGGAGAAAGAGGGACTCTTTATGATGAACTCTTTCTTCCAGAAGCGGCCCCACAGGAAGTGGACCTGGTCGAGCCCCGACGGTTCCACAAAAAATGAGATTGACTTCATTATGACGACCAGACGACAACTGTTCAGTGATGTCTCCGTGATCGCGAGGGTGAAAACTGGTAGCGATCACCGAATGGTTAGAGGCACACTGAACCTAAACGTTAAGTTGGAGAGGTCTCGTCTAATGAAGTCAACGCTCCGTCCCCCTCGTGCTCTATTCCAAAGTCCCGAAACCTTTCAGCTCGAGTTACAAAACCGTTTTCAGTGCCTGGAAGACTGCAATGAAGTGGACGATATGAATGACAAGCTCGTGGAAACTGTCCATGCGGTCGGAGCTAAGTTCTGCAAGACCCGCCGCAGAAGAACACAAAAACTCTCCGATCACACTCTTAATCTCATGGCTGTTAGACGGGAGATGAAGCTACATTCTTCAACAGACTTGACAGCATACAGGCATCTGAACAGACAGATCTCCAAATGCATGCGGCGGGACTTACGCAACTTCAATACAGCTCGTATTGAAGAAGCGATAGAGCGGAACCAAGGCTCCAAAGTCTTTGCCAGAGATCTGTCTGCCAGAAAGAGCCAACTGTCAAAGCTGAAGACAGAATGTGGCAGCATCGTTTCCGGGACACCTGAGATTTTGAGTGAGATTGAGAGGTTCTATGGGCAGCTGTTTACATCATCGTTGGAGCCACACGCAAGTGTGAGTAACGATCCAAGAGCAAGTCTCATCCGACACTATTCCGAAGATATCCCGGATGTCAGTCTGAGCGAGATTAGGATGGCTCTCCAGCACCTTAAAAACGGTAAGGCCCCAGGCGAGGATGGAATTACAGCGGAGCTTCTGAAAGCGGGTGGAAGACCGGTACTTGAAGTCCTTCAGAAGCTCTTTAATTCCGTCCTGCATGGTGGCATTACACCGGAGGCGTGGAGCAGAAGTGCGGTGGTCTTGTTCTTCAAGAAAGGTGACAACGCTCTCTTGAAGAACTACAGACCGATTTCCCTTCTGAGCCGCGTCTACGTGCTGTTTTCGAGAGTCATTACGAATCGTCTCGCGCGCAGACTTGACGACTTCCAGCCTCCCGAACAAGCCGGTTTCCGAAAGGGCTTTAGCACCATAGACCACATACATACCCTTCGGCAAGTTGTACAGAAGTCCGAAGAGTACAATTTGCCACTATGTCTGGCGTATGTGGACTATGAGAAAGCCTTTGATTCCGTCGAAATTTGGGCGGTGCTGCAGTCCCTTCAGCGGTGCCAAGTTGACTGTCGGTATATCGAAGTGTTGAAGTGCTTGTACAGTAGGGCTACGATGGCTATCCGAGTACAGAACCAGAGTACGAAACCTATCCAATTGCAGAGAGGTGTAAGACAGGGTGACGTCATATCCCCGAAACTCTTCACCGCTGCATTGGAAGACGTTTTCAAGCTTCTGGACTGGAAAGGATACGGTATCAACATCAATGGCGAGTACATCACTCACCTTCGATTTGCCGACGATATAGTCCTTATGGCAGAATCGCTGGAGGACCTAAGCACTATGCTCAATGACCTCAATAGTGTTTCCCAACGGATAGGTCTTAAGATGAACATGGACAAAACAAAGATCATGTTTAATGTCCATGTCACACCTATGCCGGTAGTTGTTGGGAGCACTAAGCTCGAAGTTGTTGACGAGTATGTTTACCTGGGACAAATAGTCCGACTAGGTAAGTCCAACTTCGACCGAGAGGTCAATAGACGGATTCAACTCGGCTGGGCAGCGTTCGGGAAGCTACGACACATCTTCTCGTCAGACATACCTCAAAACCTTAAAACGAAATTGTACAACCAGTGCGTGTTGCCAGTGATGACTTACGGAACTGAGACGTGGTCCTTCACTGCTGGCCGTATGAGGAAGCTCAAGGTCGCTCAGCGAGCTATGGAGAGGCCTATGCTCGGAGTTTCTCTGCGTGATAAACTTAGGAATGAGGATATCCGCAGTAGAACTAGAGTGACCGACATAGCCCAACGGATTAGTAAGCTGAAGTGGCAGTGGGCCGGCCATATAGCTCGAAGAACCGACAACCGATGGGGAAGAAAGGTTCTCGAGTGGCAGCCTCGTACCGGTAGGCGAAGTGTAGGGCGTCCCCCCACGAGATGGAGTGACGACCTGGTAAGACATGCAGGAAGTCGATGGATGCAGGTGGCTCAGGACCGTGCTTTGTGGCATTCTTTGGGGGAGGCCTATGTTCAGCAGTGGACTTGTGAAGGGCTGTAATGATGATGATGATGATGATGTATAGGTATAGATTTATTTGTATAGAAATGTAATCTAGTCTGTTACAGTGAATGATCCGATCTGCGAGAATAGCGCGGTCAAAGTATATCTTTGCTCTGGAGT